CCGTTTTGATGATGAACTCGTCGTCCCCAGACACGTAGAAGAGGGAACCACTGGCCCCCGAGTTGGAGAGCTCAATGAGGGGCTCATTGCAGAGCGAGTACTGGGGAGGAGCAGGTGAGAAACACAGGGTGAGACCCAGCAGGGAACCCCAGCAGGAGGGCTCCTCCTTCCAGACACCCAGAGGCAAACCCTGGGGTCACCCAGCACCCGCTGCTCTGCCCACACCGCTCAGCACGGGGGCCCCACGAGGGGGACTGCTGGAGGCAGGTGGGGGGCAGAGGACAAACACCCACCCCGTGGAGCACACAGCAAGTGGGAACCTGGTCCAACCACCCACTTACCAGGTAGTCATCTGGTCGGATCCCAAAGAGCTCCCGGAAATAGCGGAAGGCCACGGGGGCGTAGGTTTTGAAGCGGAAATCGTTGTAGTGATGAGCAGGGGTCAAGTTGCTGCCTTCACTGGGTGAGGGGAGAAGCAGACACAAGGGCTGGTGGTTGACATATTTCCCACGAAACTGCCCCCAAAGCCACCCCCACTGGTTGGTTCTTCTGACACCCGGGAGGGCTGGAGAGCACCCGCCCAGCAGGGACACACAGCACAGCAGCAAGGCCACGCTTGTCCACACAGATGGTGGACACGAGGTTCTTCAGAAGCAAGTCCTGGTGTGGCCTCCTGGTGTGCAGGCAGGGTTAGGAGCTCAAGCTGCTGCTCACTATCAAAGCACCAAAGAGAGAAGAAAGCAGGCACTGACCTGGGGAAGAAAATGCTTTCTACTACGTAGAAATCCTGCATGAGAACATCTCTTTCAGGCTTGGTGCTCAAGCTTCCGACCGTGTGCGTGATGCCCAGCTGGATGGCACCTTTCAAGGCAGAGGAGGTCGTCTGGAGGGGCAGAGCAAGTGAGTGAGACAACCTGAAGCAGCAGATCTGTGGTGTCTGGAGCTCACAGAAAGCACCCAGGAAGCCAGGAGAGGCCTGGGAAGTGCTGCTAATGGGCAGAGTTTAAAAGTAACCCCCTCTGTAGAAGGCTACAGAGAGCAGTGACTGTCACACGTCAGCCAGTGTGTCATGCTGAGCCCGTGGGACAGGCTGCTGCTCTGGGCTCTGCCTGCATGGCAAGGGGAACAGCAGCAGCCAAACGAGTCAGGCAAGAGGCAACTCACCTTTTTATAGGTCGTCTCGCCCGTGGAGTCCACTCCTCTGTGCCCTTTCTTTATGGTCTGTGAGCCTGGCTGCCCAGAACCACCTGGCATCTGGGGTTGGAGTAAAAGATGGTAAGAACCAAGGATGTAAACCCAAGGTCTCAGAGGCTGCCCAGAACCACATGGCCTCATCTGGCTGCTCTCAAGGATTCAGCCTGTCAAGGGCTGAAGCCCCAGGCTCTTTGCAAAGGGAGGACACAGGACAGGCTGGCCCTGGGGACAGGAATGGCACAGAAAGCCCCTCAAAGAACCCACTGCCTCCTGTGGGACTGGGGCTGGACATCCAGAGAGCAACATCTTCACACCAGACCACCTGGAAGGGTGTGCTTTTTTACCAAGTCTCGACCAACCACAGCCAGTTCCTGTGCTTTCTGCCAGCAAGGCCAAGTCTTGGAGGAAGCGTTTTAGGAAGGTGGCAAATGCTGCTCTGATTCATGCCACAAGAGCTCCCTTGACTCATCCTCTCCCACCAGACATGGTTGCTAAATGCTGTTCCTCAGTCAAGACGAGCTGAGCGTCATGCTGCTGGCAGATGTGGGTGGTGTTTTGGTGGCAGGAGAACTGTTCAGTTCCAGGACAAGCTGGGTTCTTAACCAGAGATTCCCTGGCTACAGGGAAATTGCCCAAATAACCCCCTGGCAGCTTCCTGCTCTCACCACTGCCTGGTTTAGCCCTAACTGGAATGAGGCTGGAAAAGCAGCAGGCAGGTGTGAAATGGGGCATCCTGTGAGCCAGGGAACAAGCCTTGGTGTGCTCAGGTCAGTCAGGGCTTACCTCAGGGGTGAGTGACTTTTTGAAGGTAGATGATCCTGTCAAAAGAAAAAGGCCACACTCAGAAAGGGTTAATGGTTACCATGCATCCCAGAAAAGCCTGATGAGACCAAACAGTTTCAAGGCAACCGAAGCAGCACTGACTCATGCTGATTTCCCTTCCCAAGGGGCTGCTCTGCCCTGCTCCACCACCACCACCCACGCTGGGAGGTGGCAGCAGCAGCATCCCTGCCTGCCTTGGCTGGAGCCCGACAGCTCGGCAGGATTATTGCCACCTCCTCCCTGGAGCTGGGAGGGCCAAGTGCTCTGCAGTGCCCAGATGTGCTGACCACGCTTTATCTGGAAATTATTTCCAGGCCTTTTTACTCCAAGGCCCTTCAGCTTGAAGCCAAACCCAGGGACTTCCATAACATCCTTGGTGTTAAACACCTGCGAGGGGATGGACTGATTTTTAGGCCTGGATTCCCCTCTTGGGCTATTTTGGATGCAGTAAGGAAAAGAAAAAAAAGCAGCTGGCTGAGCCTGTCCCTTTGCAATGTCTGTCTGCACCACAAAGCCAGACCAAGACCATCACCAGCCAGGCCAAGAGCTCCCAGGACAGGGACACTTCCCCTCCAGGCAGATGCACAGAACAGTGTTGTGCTTTCTGCCTCCAGCCCAGGAAAGCAGACAAGCCCTTTCCTGTTGTTTTTCTTTCTGCTTCAGACACAGCAGCTCCTTATTTTTCTGTGGGAGCCACGACCACAATCTCACAAAGCCACCACCACCCAGGAGAAACACCCCCCCCCCTCCTTGCACCACCAGGCATTTTTTTACCAGATTACAAATTACTCCAAAAATCCTTCTGGGCAGAGAAGCCCCTTCTGCTCCCCTGAGCCTGTAAAGACTCACTGTGGCCCCACCAAGCACCACAGTTCCACAAAAACAAGATGTGACAAACCCTTCTCACTAAACAAAGTGACTCCAGAGCAACTGGCTCCAGCCCCTGCCCATCCCCCTTCTCCTCTCCCCTTAAAACAGGAGGTTTGTCCCAATTTTTGCACCTGCAGCTGCCCACGCTTGCCCTGCTCCCCCCAGGGTGTCAGCCACCCCCCTTCACCTCTCAGAGGTCCCTCATGTTGGAGAAGACCTTTGAGATCATCCAGTCCAACCATAAAGTCCACCAAAGCATGTCCCTCAGCTCCACATCCACAGCAGGCATTTAGGTTGGACAGGAGCTTTAAGAGCCTCTCAATCCCTTCCCAAAGTGGGGCTGGCAGGGGAACAGGGAGCATCCCAAGCCAGAGGGACACTTGTGGCACTTGCTGTGTCACGATGAGATCAACAAAACTCAACCCCATCACCTTGCCACAGGTTTTTGAACTTGCCAAGACCCACTGGGACTCAGGGAACATCCCGAGCACCAGGATCTTCAACTGCAATTAAGCCTTTTCTCTTTTTTTTTTTTTTAGTATCTATAATTATAAACAGAAACATCTGCAAGCCCCAGGACTCCAGCAGCCCTGGAGCAGCCCTGCCAGCCTCGTCACCTTGGAGATTCACTGCCTTCATATTTAATCATCCGTGCAAACCCGTATCCCACCAGGAATTAACCAAAGCTCTCCCCAGAGGGCCCAGCAGCAAATCTTCTCTGGGCTGCCTTAATTACACAAATCAGACCTTGGAACTGAAGACACACCAGGAGCCCTGGCTGGGAGAGGGAGGGTCCCAGGGCAGCTCCTGGAGAAGCGAGGGCATTGAATCCAGTGGCACAAACCTCACAGCATGAAATCATCTCCAAAAAGCTGCTATTTCTGGATCTGTTTAAACACCTCAAAAATGAAAGGATTCCTTAGTCACAGCCCTGCCCCAGCTGAAACCTGTCAGTTGGACAGCTGGAAAAAATGGCTTTGAGAAACCTAAACAGTTAATTCTGGCCAGAGGAAACAGACGAGGGTCAGCAAGTCCTGCCCAGCCATGAGTTCATGATGTCCCAAAAACTTTCCTTTTGCCTTTTTTTTGTGATTCTGGGATCAGGCCCTGCTGGTGATTTCAGAGCATTCCTCAGAGCTGTTTACTGGAAGCTGAATCAACCTAAATAAAGAGCTGCCTGCCTTCCACCAGCCTCAGCTGCCCGGGATGATTTCCAGCCAGCAACAGGTAGTGTCCTCTTACCCACTGTGACTGGAATGCTAGGGACAAACAGCCACAAAGGTGTGGGGGTGGCACTTGGCCCAAGGGCTCAGAGAAGTATTTCAGGGGTAGCAGCAGGTAACCAGGTGATTGGGTCAGATCCTGCTCCTCTAGCAGATGAGCCCATTAACTCGGGACAGCCAGGACAGATCCCTGCTTTGCTCTATTTTTATCCAGCTCAGGTTCAGCTGCACCTCATGTTTTGGACAGAAATAACAAGTGAAAACATCAGCAAACCCCAACACACCATCAGGCTCAGGACCAGCACAGCCCATGCAGCGTCCCTGGCAGCTCCTCTCCCTCAGAAAGGGGAATATTCTCCCTCCTCACCTGGGCTGCAGGTGGTGGCACCAGGGACCAGGGCACTCCTGAGCACACAAGCTGGTGGTGAGCCCAAGCCCCAGCCCCACCACACACACCCTGGGGGTGGTGCAGCCTCCATGGACTCGCTGCCTGCTGAGGACATTGCTTTTCTCTGCCTGCAGATCCCCCCCCCCCAGAAAAAGCTTTTGGGATGAGTCTCCCCCCAAAGTCCAAGGCAACACACGGGAACAGCAGGGAGATTTCTTTTTGTCAAAGTGCAAACCAGGCAGAAGCCAAAGCAGACAAAGCTGGGCTGGAACCATCTGCTGCTGCACTCAGGGATGGGGAGAGTGTTTAGATGGGGAGAGCTCAACACAACACACTGCGACCCCCCTGCAGCTTAATTGGGAGGGGGGAAACACCAACAAACCACCAAGTTTTGTCAATCCTCAAAAGCCAAGACAGTTCAGTAACTGGGGGTTTTGCTGCTGGTTACTGGAGAGGAGGGAGCCATGCTGCTGCTAAGCAGAGAGATGCAAGGCAACTACCTCTTCGATAGGGCATCACCGAGCAGCACAGAAAGCTGAAATCTACACGAGGAGAAACAGAAAAGTCACAGAGGTGGGGAGGTGCAGTGGTGTGACAGCTGCCTGAGGAAACAAGAGAGGTTTTTCCCCAAGGAAGTGAAGGAAATCCTATTGCCACTAGTTCAGAAAACCAAGGTCCCAACTCTGCAAGAAAAACAACGTCTGAGCAAGGTAACTTTAAGTCATAGAGTCATGGGATGGGTTGGGTTGGAGGGACCTTCAAGACCATCCAGATCCAACCCCCCTGCACGGGCAGGGACACCTCCCACCAGCCCAGGTTGCTCCAAGGCCCATCCAACCTGCCCTCAGACACTTCCAGGGAGGGGACGCTTAATTGGGAGGGGGGAAACACCAACAAACCACCAAGTTTTGTCAATCCTCAAAAGCCAAGACAGTTCAGTAACTGGGGGTTTTGCTGCTGGTTACTGGAGAGGAGGGAGCCATGCTGCTGCTAAGCAGAGAGATGCAAGGCAACTACCTCTTCGATAGGGCATCACCGAGCAGCACAGAAAGCTGAAATCTACACGAGGAGAAACAGAAAAGTCACAGAGGTGGGGAGGTGCAGTGGTGTGACAGCTGCCTGAGGAAACAAGAGAGGTTTTTCCCCAAGGAAGTGAAGGAAATCCTATTGCCACTAGTTCAGAAAACCAAGGTCCCAACTCTGCAAGAAAAACAACGTCTGAGCAAGGTAACTTTAAGTCATAGAGTCATGGGATGGGTTGGGTTGGAGGGACCTTCAAGACCATCCAGATCCAACCCCCCTGCACGGGCAAGGACACCTCCCACCAGCCCAGGTTGCTCCAAGGCCCATCCAACCTGCCCTCAGACACTTCCAGGGAGGGGACAGCCACAACCTCCCTGGACAGCCTGTTCAAGCCATGCACAAGAAAAACTTCTTCCACAAAGATCAAAGCCCAAATATTTCACTTGCTTCCCTCAGGAAAACTGCAGAAGTCTGGCCAGAACCGAGAGCCCAAGCCAAGAGCAGCTGGGGATGGAAGGAGCCCAGGAGATGAGGCAGCACAGCCATGGCTCTCCAGGGGCAGATCAAACACTGACAAATCCTTGGTCTGGGCCAGGAGGCCACACAGTGAGTCAGAAGGTTGAGAGGCTGGTGCTGATAAACCAGGTTGGGGACATGAAACCAGCAGCGTCAGCGCTGGCGAATTCTGCTCCCAGATTCAGCTCCCAGACTCCAGATCCCTGCTCAGGCTCATCTTTCCCCCCACAGTTTGCAAGCAGCAGCTGACGTCCCCATGACTGGTTTTCCCTCCCTGGATCAGCACGTCCCCCTCACTCTCCCCTGCACTTGTTTTGGGATCCTGCTGACACTCCTGGAAGTCCCTGGATCCCGCTGACGTGTCCAACGAGCGGGTGACGCGCTGGGAAAAGGCCCAGGGAAAGGGAGAGGGAAACTCTGCCACGTTATCTGGGCACTTGGGGCTGCTTTGCAGAAGCACTAAACCCTTCCTCAGTCTCCTCCCCAGCGGGGGGGTCAGCACTCCCAGCCACAGGGAAATGAACCTCTCCCAGAGGCAGAACGAGGAGCAGGTTTCCATGCACGAGGTTACCTGTGTTTTCAAAGCTCCCAGGGGACAGCTGAGGCACATCCAGAAATGAAAATGAACACCCCAAAACAACTCCCCTGCCTTCTGCAGGGGGGAGTGGAGGTGGTCACTAACAGCAAAGAGAGGAATGTCCCCAAAGAGATGGGGTTTGGGCTTCTACCTCCATCCCTCTGCAGGCTGGTGCCCAGGGGCCAGTGCTGATGTCAGCAAAGGGGTGATGACCTCACTGACATTCCAGATCCACCATCTGGGGCTTATCCCAGAGGTTCCAGAAAAAGACTCCATGACAACTGGGGACTAGGACCTTCAATCCAAAACCAACACAGCTCCCCAGGCTGGGAAGAAACCCATTCTCCTCCATGTCCCGTCAGCACAACAGAGCCTGACCAAAGATCAGTGGTCACAAGACAAACTAAACCCTGTCTGGATG